AAATAAAAAGATCCGTGCACGTAAAATCACTTAAATTCCGCGAGTATTTCTGTCATTATCGCTCGAAAAATATTGATATATTGTCATACAGTTTGTGATAAAATTAAGAAAAAACCCGTGTGTGACAGGCGTAATATGAGAGAATTTGGGGTTTAAACAAGTTCACATTACCATAATCAAGTTCAGACAAGTGTATATGCTATTTAAAATATTTTATATTAATTTAGGACATGGCAAGTGTGTGGTACATAAATAACACGTGCCCTATCTCACACACGCACACACATTCTCTCACACATGCAGACAAATAAAATATAGACACACACGGACGTATATATCTAAACATTTTTTTTTTAGATTTAGGCCTGTGATGACCGCCGAGAAGTGATGAAATCTCCAAGTGTGTTTTAGAGATTTGTCCACTAAGCAGAATTTTATATATTGTGTTCGCTCTGGTGGGTATTTGAAACCAATGTCGGCTGATTGAAGACTGTGTATTTATGCACACACGAATATTTCAATAGTAGCTATTTGAAGGAGACATGTTTGTTTTTCAAATGTTTCCCCTGATATAAAGCGTTGAAGGCTTTTTGCCTCCTCAGTGTCTTTTTAACTTTCACTTAGTAGGTATTTTACTTATTAAATAATTAAAATACGTGTCAATATAATAAATGTATTCAGTTTCTTATATTTGTATAAAATTTCACACACACACACACACACACACACTATACATATATATATATATATATATATATATATATATATATTGCATACGCATTCAATTTAAATATATATTCTTACATATATGTATGTAAATTATTTCTATATATTTAAAATTTTAGTTTTATTAAATTGTTCGAATTTTATTATTTGTCATATTTTGTTTTGTTTTTACGGCATATCAACATCAATGGGTCATTTAATGTCGACAAGATTTTTATTGCTAGTAATATCTTTTTTCCAAAAATATATTCCTGCTAATATTCTTTTTTCCAAAAATGTATTAATGGTAATATTTCTTTTTTCAATTTGTATTTCTGGTAATATTTTTTCCTTTAAAAATTCATTGCTGGTAATAATTTTTTTCTTCCAAAATTAATTTACTGGTAATATATTTCCAAAAATGTATTGCTGGTATTAAAACCTATTTTTACACTTTCATAGTCCCCCCCCCCAGCTTGGGATTCATTATTTACCCATAGCCGAGACCCTAACAGGTGCTACCACACCGGGTCAGGGTGGACCTGGGAACACCAGGAATTAAGAGGTGGTTCCACGCTCCTCAAAACCTCCCGCTTAGAAGCTTTGCTATTGAATATAATCTATTGTCTTACTCCGGGTGTATTTGTCATGTAAACGTAAGTTCTATTCTAATAATTTCTTCTATCGCACTTCTCACTTGTGGAGCTCCCATCCGGCTTTTGCTTTCTAGAGAATTTTGATCTTGAAAAATTTATATGGACAGTAAATCGTTATTTTCTGTCTTTTTTTGCTTTCTCTTCTTTTATTGTTGTCGCTCTTCAATAATGCATTTCTTTTTCTTATATTCCTTTAGTATCAGTAACGCCGTGCGTCTTAGTGGATTTGTTGCCTTACTGGTGGTGAAATGATTAAAGTAAAAAAAAAAAAAATCAGGTAGATTACTGAAAGTTCAGTTCCAAATTTTGCATAAGCAGATTGAAGTGTATGTTTTATAATTCGTTCGAGTAATTTCGAATGCCACAGTCATTATCAAGAACAAATTATTACCATTTTCGTAGACAACATTTGTATATATATATATATATATATATATATATATATATATATACAACATTGTTTATTTGGCCAGCAATCACTTTTTTTTAAACAAGTTTCATTAAAGACATCTGACTAGATATTGCGATTAAGGTTTTTATTATATTTTGTTTTAATATAAGTGTTTTCTTATAATTATTTATTTAAAAATATGATTCCATTGCTACATCAGATTGCTCATGTTTCAAAACATTATATTTAGGCTGTACTTTTGTATCGAGCACTGCTTTTTTTAAAAAAATAATAACAAAAATACTAAAGAACTTTGAATTATTTAACTAACGAGTTCTTTCCTATTTTCTATATATCTTCACACACACACACACACACACACACACACACACACACACACACACACACACACACACACACACACATATATATATATATATATATATATATATATATATATATATATATATATATATATATACGTATGTATGTATATTCAGGCCATGAAGACTACTTTAAAGTAGAGAGTCACCACTCGGTGTTGACAAGAATATAGCATACATTAACGTTACATTTTTCACACACACACACACACACATATATATACACAAACACACACACATATATATATATGTGTGTGTGTGTGTGTGTGTGTGTGTGTGTGTGTGTGTAAAACAGGAATTATATTCAACTAAACCAGGGTAGGATTTCTGGAAGATTATGTAGCCTTTGTAGTTATAGTGTTTGATATCTAGAGATTCAATAATAATAATAAATTAAATACATCAAAATTGTTCAGTTACCTTTTAAAGTTTTATACTGTGAGTTTTTAGGGGTAATTACATCCCGCCACCTGGAGATTTAATGTTAACTTTATGTAAACGTAAATTAGAGGCAGTAATAAAATATACTGAACAATATTTTATTTATTTTAAACAACAAAGATTTTGTCGGCAGGAAAATGAGGCAGGTTGGCATAGGTGGCTTGCTTCTGCTTGTTATAATGGCATTCCAGGCCGGTGGGGTGGCATCTCGAGGCGGTGTACTGGTTTAACAAGATTGTCTCGCTAAAACGATTACGACTGAGTAGTGAGTTCGAACCTCACTGGGTGATCCAACCAGATTGAAAGAAGAAGCTTTTGCCCATGAAGTTCCCTTCTCGGCTGTGGCTGGGGTCCTTCCCCTTTACCAAGCCACTGTCTACGACGCTTAACATTTCGATAAAAGATACATTTATCGTCGCCAGTCACAAGTCTATCCAAAAGAAAAGTGAAACAAGTTGGCGAGAATGGAGAGAAGAGCAGATGTCAACTCGGGATTTGAGGTTGTTTTCAGACAATTCATGAGGCACCCATTTCCCAAGTTTAAGAACTTTTCCAAGTTATTGAAGATGACGATGAAGAGTTGTATGGTTTGAACTGAGAACCACTGCCAATTCCTCAAATGATAAAGCAGGATTTCCTTCAAGGGGTGCTTCAAGAAGCTTTTCATCAAACAAACGCCCGGTTCGATCTTCATCCTCAAGGGTGAAATCTCCACCTCTGAATTTTGCAAACTATCTTCTGCAAGTTCTTTCATTCACACATTCCTCTCCATAAACTGAGTGAATGTTTCTAGCCGCTTCGGCTGCTGAGTTTCCTTTCTTGAACTCATAAAGCATTATGTGCCTCAAATGATTCTTGGGTACTTCCATGTTAGCAGGGTTTTAATCAAACAAAATTTAATTTTATTGTTCTCTGAAAAAAAATTTGATCAGTTTAAATGCATCTAAACATAAAAATAATGTTCAGCTCCATTAGACATTATAAAATACTCTTTAAATTTCGTTCATTTTAACAAAAAGTTAAAATTTGGACAGAACTTATGGGATGACCTGATAGTTGGTGTGGCGAACCGTTTAACTGATATGTCTTATTTTTCTTGTAATGGCGAGCGGTTTCTTATCTCTCCCTGTGCCTGTCTGTGGGTATCTTTGATAGTTGCTTATAAGAACTACTGACTTATAGAGAACAGCGTTCTTTGACTTGTCATCTCTAAAGAGTCATTCATCAAGACCTTTGGATTTGGCTTCACTCATTGACCTTCTCTTTTAGGATCCTTTGACCTTCTTCTTGGAAAGCCCACTCCATTAAACTGAGATTCTTTGACAAGATAGGCAATTATCAAAGCCATTTCTGTTATGTGTTGCATTGTGGGTCCTTAGCAAGTTGTCAACTAACACTGATATCACTACAATTTAAGATCTTGATGAATGACACTTTGTAGACGCTTTGTGTTTGAAATAGATGCACCTATTATTATACACCTATTATTATGGTGTACACATCATATTTGAGACAGGCATCTATTTTTATTTATTAGGCCGATAGACCTAATACACACTGAATAAAAATGGATTTTTTTAAAAGCGATTCACCCCAAGCAAGGCAGGAGTGTTCCAATTCATGCAGTCTGGGAATTTAAGCGAACTACTAGGCTGGCATCTCGGTCCCACCCTTTCACTGTCGAAACGATTCTCTCGCAAGTGTAATGTCAATCGACATCTTCTGAAACCTTGGTAATGTTCCCCGGCCTTCTCAGTATCCTTTCCTCAAACACGCCTCTTTACTCTTGTTCTCAATCCTCTGTAACCTCTTGCGTGCTAGTGGCACTCCTGCCTTGCTTGGAGTGAAATACTTTAAAAAATCCATTTTATTCATTAAACAGTGTATATTACGTCTATCGGCCTAATAAATAAAAATAGTTGCCTTTCTCAAATATGATGTGTACGCCATAATAACGTTTGAAAGAATACACGCGCGCACATATACGCACACATATGCACACCTACACGTACGCATACGTTTTCAAAGTATTCAGACCCCTATATTAGGACACTCTATATACTCTTTACTCGTTAACACAGACTTGTAATCTCGCATGGGTGCAACTGTACAAATGCTGAAAGGGAGTTTGGAATATAATATCCATAACACCCACATCTTTTGACACAATAAGGGAATATGTCTGACAACCATACTGCCAAGGAATTTGATGTATAAAATGCAAAATCTGTGGGTAGACATTTTCCTAAAGAAACATTAATTTTACCGTACCAACGATGTCACCGACATGTTTGAAACAGTGATTACTGAAATATAAACAGTAAATATACTATTGGACGGTATCCCGCTTAATAATTATATAATGGCGGAGAAATTTAACGTCCTCCATTACAAGCCGAGATATGCTATAGTTATAATGGCTTACCACCGAAGTTAAACAAGGTCGAGCTTTGTCAGTACTTAGATGGGTGACCGCCTAGGAATACCAGGTGCTGTAAGTGTGGAAATGTCGATGGTGTAGTAAATAATGTCTCGGAATTGTTAATTGGAGAATCGAGTTTCAATTGCAGTTGGGTTCGTTATTACGCGCGAATACCCTTGGGAAAGGTATAAATCCATATATTCTCTCCCCATCTACGGATTAATTAGTAAGACGTGTATCACTAAATGATTATTATTTCCCCCCAACGATTCTTACAATCTAAACATATTTTCTGGCTTTAGATACGCTACAAAGGGTTGATGAACCGTAAAAAAAGGATCAATCATTCAATATAGTAATGATCAATAGGAATAAATTAATGGTGAGAAACTTTGATTGTGTTAGCTTATTTTCTTTTTACATTTCATATCTTTTCTCTCGTCTGCTGTTAATTTACATGAATTCTTGGAGATCCAGTGAATCCTGCTGAATTCATCGTTGTTTTTTTTTATTTAACCCAAAGTTACGGAGTCTTAGAGAGAAGATCCATGCCCCTTCTAAGTATATTTGTATGATATTGGATAGATAAGGGAGACAGTGTCACTCATGCTGTAAATTCGCACTTTTCACATCGTTGAATTAGGCAAAGTCAAGCGCAATTGCATTGCAGAATGCAACCAAAAACTGCCCCTAACGCTCCGATTTCGGATTTGTTAAGTTAGTGTTTACTCACGAATTGAGAAGCCAGCTCCAGATTTTATCTTCAATGGTAAATCCTGAGCCAAGTCTGGAATCATTGCTTTCTTTTAGATGAACTGCCTTCCCAGTTTAACGAGTTTCATCTATCAAATTATAAGTTTCCGGCAGCTGGTATTCCCAAGCAGTCTCAGTATTAACTAGTATTAACTAGAATTAACTAGTCTCGACGCCTGTTAACTGCAGTAAGCTGATGAGAAACCTTTCAACGTGATAATACTATACTATCAGATTATATACTACTAATAATATATATAATATAATAATATTATAATAATATATTATTTAATATTATAATATTATAATAATATTTAATAATTTAAATATTTAATATTTAATAATTAAATATTTAATATTTAAATATTTATATATTTAAATATTATATTAAAATAATATAATTAAATATTATATTTAAACGTTTATTAAATTAAATATTATTTATTAAATAAATATTTATTAAATAAATATTTATTTATTAAATTAAATATTATTTATTAAATTAAATATATTTAAATATTTATATTTTAATATTTAATATTTAATATTAATTTATTATTAAATATTTAATATCATAATAAAATAATATTATATTATAATAATATAATAATATAATATAATAATATAATATAATATAATATTATAATAATATAATATTATATTATAATAATATAATAATATAATATAATAATATAATATAATATATAATAATCTATATACAGATTAGACCGAAAATTGAGTCCTTTTGTGATATTTGGGCGGAAGCTGGCCAGTCCTCACTTTCCGGCCCTGATAGAATTCAAAAGCGTCTCCGAGTCCTTTTGGGTGACGAATTATATTCCACCCATTTTCTCACATACGGGGTATGCCGAGCCTCTCTCTGCTCTATCGTTACTAGTATGAAAAGTGTTCGGACGAATACATTACAGGTCTAGCCTACACGTCTAGGACCCGTTATCCCACTTACCTTGTAGTCAACCACCCACATTCCCTCTGTATTCCATTGGTGAGTAATCAGTTTCACTCGAACGGCTTCTTCCCGAGAAACACTGCTCTGTGGAACCGAGTCCCGAGAGGATATTTCCCTGATCATTACAATCTTAAAATTTTCAAATCTAAGGTTAACCGTCATCTGTTCATTCTATCGGTATAAACCGCATCTTAACGTAGTCATCTACCATGGGTGAGTTCCGCGTCTTGTATAACCTTACTGTAAAATAAAATAATGAAGCGTTTGTTTAACTATATATATTGCTCATTCAGGTAGGGTCAATCTAACTGCCGTCGTACTCGGCTGCAAGATGACAGCTCCACGCCTATTATTCGAGGCCCTGTTCTAAGATAATTAATAAGACGCAGCGAAAAAAAAAAAAGAGAGACGATATTTAAGAATTACTGGATAACTGTAATTAAGTGAGAAACAATTAAGGGGTTAAACAAGGTCAGTTATTTTAATCAAAATGACACTGATGTAGCTAATGGAATTGAAATCCCTTTTTTGGTTTCCTCTCACAGAAGAAAAATCAGTCGGCAAAATAACGTTTGGATTGGCGAGAACTCTCCAAAAGTTGTATTGCCCGTTTCGCGAAAGAAACTTGGTTGAATAAACTATTGTCAACCATATATATATGTTATGGTCCAGGTTAGGACCAAGGAAGAATAACACGAACACAAGAGTAGAAATAACGAAGGTATATTACACGAAATAATAATACAAGATGTGGAAGGTGTAAGTATGACTGTCAGTCTGGTTTGGAGTGAACTACTATCGGCTCGACAAGGGTTGCATGTGGCACAAGGCCGAGTTTAGAGTGGGTTTCCCGAGCCCGTAACCTCGGCCAAAAAATGCCCGTAGAAACCGTATAAACGGGATGGTCAACCTCCCTGAACGAGATTCTGCCCTTCGGCGGAGCCTCGTCCGGGTTCCTCCCTGCTCAGAGGCAGAGAGTTCGACAGTCAAGCCGAGAATTTCGGCTTGATTCGGTATCTAGCCACCCCCCACGAGGGTTGCATGTGACACAAGGTCGTTTTTATCGTGGGTTTCCTGAGCCCGTAGGCTCAGCCAAAAAATGCCCGTATAACTCGTAAAAACGAGATGGGGTAGGTCATTCACCCCGAACGAGATTCTGCCCTTCGGCGGAACCTCGTCCGGGTTCCTTTCTGCTCAAAAGCAGAGAGTTCGACCGTCAAGTCGAGAATTTCGGCTTGATTCGGTATCTAGCCACCCACCCCACGAGGGTTGCATGTGACACAAGGTCGTTTTTATCGTGGGTTTCCTGAGCCCGTAGGCTCAGCCAAAAATATGCCCGTATAACTCGTAAAAACGAGATAGGGTAGGTCATTCACCCCGAACGAGATTCTGCCCTTCGGCGGAACCTCGTCCGGGTTCCTTTCTGCTCAGAGGTAGAAAGTTCGACCTTCAAGTCGAGAAGCTCGGCTTGATTCGGTATCTAGCCCCCCCAACGAGGGTTGCATGCGACACAAGGTCATTTTTATCGTGGGTTTCCCGAGCCCGTAGGCTCAGCCAAAATATGCCCGTATGACACGTAAAAACGAGATCAGGGTGGGTCATTCACCCCGAACGAGATTCTGCCCTTCGGCGGAACCTCGTCCGGGTTCCTTTCTGCTCAGAGGCAGAAAGTTCGACCGTCAAGTCGAGAAGCTCGGCTTGATTCAGTATCTAGCCACCCCCCACGAGGGTTGCATGCGACACAAGGTCATTTTTATCGTGGGTTTCCTGAGCCCGTAGGCTCAGCCAAAAAAATATGCCCGTATGACTCGTAAAAAACGAGATCAGGTAGGTCATTCACCCCGAACGAGATTCTGCCCTTCGGCGGAACCTCGTCCGGGTTCCTTTCTGCTAAAGAGCAGAGAGTTCGACCGTCAAGTCGAGAAGCTCGGCTTGATTCAGTATCTAGCCACCCCCCCACGAGGGTTGCATGTGACACAAGGTCGTTTTTATCGTGGGTTTCCCGAGCCCGTAGGCTCAGCCAAAAATATGCCCGTATAACTCGTAAAAACGAGATCGGGTAGGTCATTCACCCCGAACGAGATTCTGCCCTTCGGCGGAACCTCGTCCGGGTTCCTTTCTGCTCAAGAGCAGAGAGTTCAACCATCAAGTCGAGAAGCTCGGCTTGATTCAGTATCTAGCCACCCCCCCCCACGAGGGTTGCATGCGACACAAGGTCATTTTTATCGTGGGTTTCCTGAGCCCGTAGGCTCAGCCAAAAATATGCCCGTATAACTCGTAAAAACGAGATAGGGTAGGTCATTCACCCCGAACGAGATTCTGCCCTTCGGCGGAACCTCGTCCGTGTTCCTTTCTGCTCAGAGGCAGAAAGTTCGACCGTCAAGTCGAGAAGCTCGGCTTGATTCGGTATCTAGCCAACCCCCCACGAGGGTTGCATGTGACACAAGGTCGTTTTTATCGTGGGTTTCCTGAGCCAGTATAACTCGTAAAAACGAGATAGGGTAGGTCATTCACCCCGAACGAGATTCTGCCCTTCGGCGGAACCTCGTCCGGGTTCCTTCCTGCTCAGAGGCAGAAAGTTCGACCGTCAAATCGAGAAGCTCGGCTTGATTCGGTGTCTAGCCAACCCCCACGAGGGTTGCATGTGACACAAGGTCGTTTTTATCGTGGGTTTCCTGAGCCCGTAGGCTCAGCCAAAAATATGCCCGTATAACTCGTAAAAACGAGATAGGGTAGGTCATTCACCCCGAACGAGATTCTGCCCTTCGGCGGAACCTCATCAGGGTTCCTTTCTGCTCAGAGACAGAAAGTTCGACCGTCAAGTTGAGAAGCTCGGCTTGATTCCGTATCTAGCCACCCCCCACGAGGGGTTGCATGCGACACAAGGTCATTTTATCGTGGGTTTCCCGAGCCCGTAGGCTCAGCCAAAAATATGCCCGTATGACTCGTAAAAACGAGATCAGGGTAGGTCATTCACCCCGAACGAGATTTTGCCCTTCGGCGGAACCTCGTCCGGGTTCCTTTCTGTTCAAAAAGCAGAGTTCGACCGTCAAGTTGAGAAGCTCGGCTTGATTCAGTATCTAGCCACCCCCACGAGGGTTGCATGCGACACAAGGTCATTTTTATCGTGGGTTTCCCGAGCCCGTAGGCTCAGCCAAAAATATGCTCGTATAACTCGTAAAAACGAGATCGGGTGGGTCATTCACCCCGAACGAGATTCTGCCCTTCGGCGGAACCTCGTACGGGTTCCTTTCTGCTCAAGAGCAGAGAGTTCGACCGTCAAGTCGAGAAGCTCGGCTTGATTCAGTATTCAGCCACCCCCACGAGGGTTGCATGTGACACAAGGTAGTTTT